AGTCTGTGAAGCAAAGGTTTATTTCAGTGCTGGGTGCAGGGGAGATCCCCTCCGTGATCCTCCTGCATGCTCACTTGTTGGTCTAACTTGCACAGATTTATTTAGGACAGTCATTCATATTCATGTCATTTCTCAGAAGTCTTACACATATTGAAATGATTTCCCCGACATTATTTACATCTTTACCCTCCCACTTGCGTCTGTGCACTGTTCTCTAGGAGTCTTCTTTGAGGGTCGTGGGGTGAAGGCTCAAAGTCTTCCTCTCGGCTGAACTTCTTATTCTGGCACCTGTGCTATATTGTTTCAGCTACATTGCAAACCCAAGTTGGCAGTTAATCCTCTCTTTCTTCCATGTAAGGGCAGGAAGGTGACATCCAGGTAGAGGCTGATCATCGCTAAGATAAGTGGTGTCAGCCAAAGCAACGTAACCCTATACCCAAATACACATTACCCTGTCTCAGTCCCCATACTTGGGTACCTGGAAACTTACGCTCTTTCTGACCACCCATCTACTATCACTTAAGCAAAACTACATATTCTTTATCATAATCCAATAGCCTAGATCACTGAGAATTTTGCTGTCCTACCCATTTCCTTCTAGTGTAATCATTAATCAATAAACATGTTAACAAGTTTGCATCAGCTACCTCTTGAGTCTCCAACCTGAAGGAGAAGTGTCAGACCTTGGCAGTAACAATACTTAAAAGCAGACTGAACCCAAAATGTTCCTCAGCCTGCCAGCGCCCAATTCTCTGCCAAAAACTGGTGTGAAGTTAATTAGCTATTAGTTATCACACAGGTCCTTTGTACTCCATGTGGCTTTCCTGTGTAGCTGCCCTTAGCTACTGAAAAAAACCCCAATGCCAGAAGGTCCTTCCTTCAGAATCTAGGTTATCAGAAATTATTTCCAAATACTGCTGTTGCAGAGACAGAGCAGGGAATGCCAGCAGCAAAGTGACCCAGGATTAATCTCCAGTGAAGAGACAGCCTGAGACAGACAGAAATCTCAGCAAGGACAAACTGCATTGCATCTCTATGGATGAATGCGGAAGGCTGAAACTAGTTTTATCAGTCGGTTACACTACTGAACATTTTGGCAGTACTAAATTTCAGTATTCCCTGACTTGTAATTTCTTACATTGCTGCTTCTACTGAAAACCAAAAGTCTGGCAACTGTTAGTCATATTAAACTGAGGCTGGAAAAGACACTCTATTTTACTATAATGAGACAATTTTCTAAATGGAAGAGAAGCTGGCATTTAAGTTAAGGTTTCACAAATGAGTTTTTGTCTGTTGTAGATTTTCAAACATTGTTAGGTATAGGTTAGGGATGAAGCTTCAGGTATTTGCCTTTGAGACATCACTGCTTCACAGCATCAAGCTTTTGACACTCAGCCAAAAATTTCTGATGTGATTTTTCCTAATTATCCTTGCTTATATGTGTACATTCCTTCCTCTTAGAAGTTTTTACTTCATTGCTACAGATCGATGTTTCTACAAAAAGTCCTGACTAGCCCTTATATTTCAAGTAAAGGATACGCTGCCATTAATTTTAACATGTGTGATAGATCCCATAGATACCACATTCCTGATATCTAAACTTTTATCTCTGGGATTCATGTATTAGCACACCCACAGTTTCACTGGTCAATACAGGGCCACCTTTAAACTTTTGCACATCTGTGCTCTCACAGTGGAGTTTATTCAGCCCCTGCTTTTATCTGTGCCATCGCAGACACTCAGAACTCACCAGACAATACCATGAGCAAAGTTGATGGAAGTTGGCCTGCTCCAAGCAGGAGGTTGGACCCATTACCCTTCAGAGGTCACTGCCCACCTCAGCTGTTCCCTGGTTCTAAGCAATGGTGACTGCAGCCTGCCTGCCAGACCATAGCCCTGCAGGACAGTTTGGGCTGGCAGGGACCTTCATAGGTCTCCAGACTCACACCTGCCCAGAGCAGGCTTAGCCATGGGGTCAGAGCAGGGCTTAGTCTTCACAGATTCAAGAATAGAAGAGAAATCTTTCTAACACCTTTTCCCAGTAGAGAATGGGAGTGTAGAAGTCCTGGCACTCTGTACTGGTGTATCATACTGGTGGCTTAGGGGTAAGAATGTTATCAAAATACCCATTTTGCTCTGGAATAAAACTGACATTACGACGTACTAACACACTGGGAATATCCTCTGCGGTACTAACAAATAAAACATTCTGGTGGATATCTTTTATGATACCTTTATAGGTATGCAAAGAACAGGAATCAAGATCAGGGAAAATGTGCTACTAAAAATGCTCTAAAACACTCCTCACCTTTCAAATCCAATTGGGAGAAATAAACTTGCCCTATTCTTTTAACTGTAAGGAACTAAAATCCTGAAGAAAGATATTCACTGACTGCTAGATATAAATGAACTCCTTAAAACATTTCTAAATTCTCAAATACAGGATTAAAACTTTTAAAAGTAGGGGCTAAATTCTTATTTGAGTGCAGAGGCATAGCAAGTCACTCATTTCAAGCTGAGACCAGTATAAGTCCTTTACAGAAACACAGGAACTAAGTAACGTACTACTTTTTATCAATGACAGTCTATGATTCATCACCTCAGCATAATTTTTAATTTAACAAGAAGGAAAAACGTTTCTTCTTTATTGCAAAGGATAAAAGACAATGACTCTATCAGATACAGAACAGAAATTCTATGAAAAAAATCAGCAGCAATTAAAGTAAAAAATTGTGCATGAATTTTATTAGAATACTTCTTTTCCTAAGATTTACAACACAATATGCGGATGCATTTAATTATTTACTTCACTATACATTCTGCACTTGTGACAGTGCACTTGTGACAGTTGTACAACAAAAGTAGCAACTAAGAGTTTCCAACTTTTAGTAATTTCAAAAAGTGAAACAGAGCTTTACTGCTAGTAGTGTCAATGTTAAAGTTCCAATGCCTATCAAGCTGAAGTGATTAATTTCAGCAGCACATTTAAAGCTCTTTAGACTTCAACTCAACTTCTACATTAGAAGTGTCGGCAGTGTTTATTACATCTTTTTCACAATCTTAGACATAAGAGTAAAAACTTAGCACAATTAGAATCTTTTTTAATGGATCAATTGATTAACAACACAGAAGAAAACAGTTATAGTAGGAAGACAAACAATTTCAGCACAAGTAACTTATGTCAGCATAATTCTGACAAGTTCTTCTGATGAAGCACTGAGCTCGTTGCAAGAGTCTTACATATATGTACAGCAAAAAAGCAGATCCACAAAATGTAATTACTTATTCAACCAGGCAATGCTGATGCTGTTCATTCACAAAAAATGGTGTGCAGCTGGAGCTCAATTCCACATCTTTCAGAAGCTCTAAGTATTTGTGAACCTTTGTCTTTCAGGAAATATAAGGGAATTCTAGACATCTAAATAAAGGACAGTATTCCTTTTAAAGTCTGAGTACTGGACATTTCAGGAAAAGTTGTGAATCTAACTGCTGTTAGCTTTTATGCCTTGCTGCATGAAAAAGACACTAAAAAGCTATCTTGAAAACAGAAACCTGCTCACCAAGGAGTGTTAAACAATTTAAGCAATAAAGCAACTGTGGCTTCTCCAATCACAACTGCAGCTCTTTCATAATGAATAGAGTTATGAGGTTACACTAAAACATGACACAAATATAATCTTGTGTTTGTCCAAAAAGAGAAGAGATACAACATGATGCAGTACAGATGTACCACTGATTTCACTGTAACACACACCAACGATGCGTCAAAACTAAAAAAGAATTTGTCTGGATTATCCTAACACTGCAGCACTCTACATGCTACTGAGAAAGAAAGGTTGAGGCATACAAACAGAAAACGTGTTTTTATTTTCAAGCAAAGCAAAACTGGAGATGTGCTAAGATGAACTAAGAAGACTGGCAAGATTATTGACTAGAATTCACTTAGTAAAATGCTAATCACGTTAGTTCATAGCTGTGCTCATCTCTGAATTAAGGATTACTAAATATATTAATGGCAATGTGAAAAAAAAAATTACTGTTCTATCTTTTAGTTTGGCTATCACCTTGGGTGTTCTTTGCGAAACTCTAATACTTCAACCTGAACATCGTTCTAAGTGACAATGGGAGACAACGGGAAAATCAGCAGCAGCTTACAGACAGAAAGACTGCCAACTGCTGCTGAATAACACAAGTTTTCTGCTTTATGTTTTGAAAGAGCTCAGCTATGCTGGATCGCTGAACACTTCACTGCAGGATTGCCCAACAATCTGTGACACGAGTATGCTGGTTGTCACTTCTGTGCACAAAGGTGCTTAAATAATGACCCAGTTCCCATGTGCAGAGTGCTGCTATTTAAACTGCTAATAGTCAACAGTTTGCACACAAGAATAGCACTCTGTAATATATTAAAGATCTAAAACACGTTTAAATGCTCTAAATGAAAGAGCTAGTAGTGTTGAAAAGGGAGATGAGGGAAGACATATTTTCGATTTGTACCACAGACACAAGAACAAACACTTTTAAAAACTCTTTGAAACTCTTGGAAGGCCCCTATTCTGCAACCTTCATGATTAGAGAGGATGTATGTATTGGTTTCTGTGGAAACACTACAAATACTGACACAGCAGAACAGGGAAAAACTGACACACACCTGAAGGAAATCTCTGGGGAAAGTAAATTAAAATGCTTCCCTTTATCATACACCAAAACATGTACAGATTTATCTACTAAGCCCTTGTGGCAAAGGAATCTCTGGTAACATTTTTGGTTAAAAAAAAAGCACACAGAAGAGATGGATTCATTAAAATCATGCTTGGCTAACTCAACTGACATTCCCTCTAACAAGACCCCTCCTGCTTCAGACAGGCTGTAGTGTTACTGTACTCCTAACACTCCATCCCCAGTGAAGTCAATGATTGTCACAAATGTGGTGGTCACACTGACAGATTTCTTTTCGTTCCATGCAAGACTGCAATATTACACATTAACAGTAGAGAGCTTTAAAACGTCATGAGCATATCACGTTCTTGTACGCTAGTGTAGAATGGCCTACCAAAGATAAAGGAATGTAGACCTGGTTTAATCTTCTCCGCCAAAGCCATTATTATGTTAAGATCGCCCTCTGCTGTTAAGTCAAGATCTATCTTTAAGCTACGAAGAGACTTAAAAGGTTTTTTTCCTTTTTGCCTGCAAAACAAAAAACGCTGTTGTAAAAAAGAACAGAGGAAGTTTCTCAAAGTCTACTTTCTATTATCTGTTCACTTACGTGTCATCCTCTATGTATTTTATTAAAGTTAAGGCTTTTCTGTGAAGGACTAGCAGAAATTGTGCGAGGAAAGTACTCCTTAGAGACAAGCCAGGCTTCAGATGAAATATCTGTTAAAAATTATACCAGAAAATGAAGAAGACATGGAAATTCAAGAATGATTTTAAGAATGTGGAATACAAAGAAACATTGCATACACATGTAACATATCCTTAATTATAGCAAAGCAGGCACATTAACAGCAGATTTGTAGATATACTCAACATTCATTCTTAGTCTTCTAGCTGCTCAGATGCAATACATTAAGCTGTTTTATAATTCTGTTTGGATAAAGTACTATTTTCCTGTTTAATTTGATGTGAAATTAATCACAGTCAGGTAGCTTTCTCAATACTGTAATTAATTGTAGACACTGCTGAACAGCAATAGAAAATGTGCATTGTCTTTCATACTGAAGAAGTTGTTTCAGTATTACACTAATACTACAAATAACACAGGTATTTTTCTCTCTAGTTATGCACAGAATCATACCACTAGTATGAAAAAGAGCTACCAAGCCAACAAATTATCTGTTCATGTTAAATTATCTGTTACTAGGGCTCAAAGTACTGAACTTTAGCTCTTGTTCTTCATGAAAAAACAATTACCTGATCCAGGAAGGCTTTTACTAACGTATCTCGATGAAGGATATCTTGAAAGACATTTCTACAGAAAAGAAAGCAAACAAATATGTGAGGTAATGCCATGAAGGGACACTAACTGTCCAGCAGTTGTGCACACGAACAGCATTACAATCTAGCAGAAATTAAAAGTGAATTAAAAACTTCAGTGAATTCTAATCCTTCTATTTTAAAGCTAATAAAGAATTATAAAGCAAAACTTTCAGATAAAATGAACTAAACCCAGAAAAAGCCACTGGGCCTTGTCAAATACACTTAGCTTTGTTATACCCCTAATTAAAACAGACTACAAAATGAACATTGTCAGAGGTATCCCTGAAAAGGTATTTCAGTAATACCTAATATAACAAATCTATCGACGAATTCATAAATTTCTCCAAAACAAACGCAACTACGAGAGCTGAAGGAGCTCGTTAAAAGCTAAAACTTTCTAATACTTTCTAATAAAGTACACTTTTGTCTCTTGTCCCAAATCAAGTAACTTTGAGAGATATTAGAGAGGAGTACATACAAATCAGGTGTGAAACTCTCATCTGTGTGGATAATATGATCTTGACACATTTCTTCATCTGAATTAGCTCTCCAAAATGCTGTCAGCTCAGATCTCATATATCGTCGTTGGTTATAGATGTGTTCATGACAAGGGGGCATCTGCTTCACTGTATTGACATCTACATCTATATGTGTAGTAGGGTACGGGGCATACATTACTTGACGGAAGGGCAACACAAAGCTTCCTGTTGCATCCTGTTGTAGTGAAAAAAAAATTCTTCTAGTTACTTTCTTTAAAAAACCAAAGCTATATTGGAGCAAAACAGTATTAAAAGCATCATGCCTCAATTTTAAATCCCATTTGTTTAGACATGTTTTGTTTGGGAAAACTGGTGGTTATAGCCCAGTAAAAAGTTGTTTAGACTGGATGATTCCCTTTATATAACACTGAAAACAGGTACAGAGGTAACCTGTGTATTACAGTATTGCATCATCTCATTTGTAAGCCCATTAACATTACAGTATTATATTTATCTGGTAAGTTCAGACTCCTTGCTACAGCAAGAAGCATTATTTTTCTATTCATCTTCACCCATTGCTACAGCTCTTTTAAAATATTTGGAAACTGTAGGACTGATGGACTGTTCTTTAGCATCAGTACAACACAAAAATTTAATGCCTTTTGCGATTCTAGCCCCAAGCTGGCAAAAGAGTATTATTATTGGACCTCAAAGCATAGGAACAATTCTAGACAATACTCAAGAAATAGTGTCAGAGAAAAGACTGGCGTGGAATTTTAACATGCAAATAATTACAAGGAAAGCTGTAGTGCCAGAAAGTAATCAAGGGAAGATGACACATTTATTTAAACATGAATGTGTATATGCGTGCGCATATCATACGCAGACACACATACATTGAAGAATGTCCTTGACCCACAGAAGAACAGAACTTTCCTAAGCGTACTTACTTTGAGTAAGCCTTGAACAAAAAGTCCTGACTCATACTTGAAAGAAGACTCATTTCTACATAGTCTGGAACACTTCCGCTCTGATGGCGTAAGAAACAGACACAATGTTCTCACAATCTGCATTAAAAAGAACAGTTTTGAAAAAAAATGACAATGTAAGGAATGAACTGATCTTCAAATGTAATTTCTGACTAGAATGTATTAGGCATTTCAAATGATGAACAAAAAAGTTCATCATGCTTATTAGAAAAGCCAAGACTTTACCAAAGTCACAGCATAGCAACAGCCTTAAATTATTACGCTCTAAGCCATATTACTCAAACTTCCTGTCAAATGAAGAAAAAAATCCAACACTTTTTGGCAAAGTTTGGTCTTTAGCCAACTATGAAGAACAAATTACTTTTGCCTTCTACCTCTTCCTGTTACATAAACATCAGTTACTGTGATTACTTTCCTAGCCTTTTAAGCCTCTTTTATTCATCCCATGTTGAAACAGCAGCCATTGTCTCCAATCAGGCACAGTCAATTTCCTAAATAAGCATCCACGTTTATTTCCTCAGTAATTTCCTCAAACTCTCCATTAAAAGCAACAAAGGTACTTCATTATTCGTTTTCAAACTCCTGCCCTGCAAGAGCTACAAGTAATCATCTTCAAATACAAACATGTATTTGTACTGGGTTTGCATGGCAAGGTTTTGGTAGTGGGGGTGCTACAGGGGGGGATTCTGGGAGAAGCAACTAGAAGCTTCCCCCCATGTCCGATAGAGCCAATGCCAGATGGCTCCAAGACGGACGTGCTGCTCGTCAAGGCCAAGCCCATCAGCAACAGTGGTAGCGCGTCTGGGATAACAGAGTTAAGAAGGGGGGAAATAAAAAAACAGCAACTGCAACAGGAGAGAGGAGTGAGAATATGTGAGAGGAACATCCCTGCAGATCCCTAGGTCAATCAGTGCAGCAGGAGGAGGAGGTGCTGCAGGCCCTGAGAAGAGATTCCCCGACAGCCCCTGGTGCAGCCCATGGTGAGACCGGCTGCCACCCGCACGCCCCACGGGGACGCCCGCGCGGC